CGCTTGGCGCCCTGTGTCCCCCTGCCGTGGCTCTGGGCGGCGCGGGCTCGCGTGGCGTGGGAGAGGGGTGCAGTGCTACTGCTGTGGAGCGGCACCGCCCGACACTGGTCCGCGGTCCCGACCCCAGCGCCGCGCCCCTGCGTGCCCTGCTCGGTGCCGCCCCGCGCCTGCTGCTGCTGCTCTGCTCGCGTACTTCGGAGGCCTTTGTACCGGGGCGAGAGGGCCACGTCCCTCCCCCTTGGCGTGCTCTGCCACGCTACCGCCTGCTGCGCGACCTACCGCGCCTGCTGCAGGCCCTCGAGGCGCAGTCTTGCCCACCAGGGTCAGCTGCCTGGAGACTCGGCAGTGCATGCAGGGCCTCCTGGAGCTGTGTGGCCCGCTGGACCGCGAAGCCGAGGAACTTGCAAACCAAGGCGCAGCAGAGCTCCCCCACTGGCTCCCAGTCTGTGGCCGCAGCGCCTAGAGGCACTTGGTGGAACCCCAAAATGTGCCTCCACTCTGGACTCCTTGGGGTGCCTCGGGAGGACTACTGGCTGGAAAGCCTTATTTCCTGCCTCCCATTGCGTTCTCTAGGAGTGCCCAGCTTCCTCCTCATACCTACGCCCGCCCTCCGAATGCTGAGGCCGAGGGTCCTTTACTCAGAGCCCCTCCAACCCCTGCTCAGATGGCTGCAGGGCAGGACAGGGCCATCTTGCCCTCCGAAACTTCAGGACAAGAGCAGTCTGCAGAGGCCGTGCCCTAGGCCGGAGAGGTGGGTGCAGGTGTTCAGGAAGAGTGTAGGTCCAGGGGGGTTGGAATAAAACTCCCTCCAGGGCCAGGAATCTCCCTTTCCCAGAGAAGGCCCTGCTCTTTCCAGAGAAAGAGACTTTGGCTCTGAGTGGGCAGGACAAGGAGAGTAAGACCCAGAAAGAGGAATGAAGGCACACGTTCCAGAAGCTAAGACAGCCGTGCACGTGTGCTCTCCTGTGGCTGCAACTCCGAGCTGGGGGCAAGAGCAGCACACTCCTGCCTGAGTTACAGATCCGTCTGTGGGCCCGGATCCTCTGTGTCGACACTCGCATTCACATTCTCACAAGTCATGTCTCCAAGAGGCAATGGGGACGCGATCTCCATCCTCACTGCGGTTCTTCAAGAGGAGAGGAATAGGCTGAAACCCAGAAGGGTAGTGCCTGTGCCCTCACAGAGCCAGCCCACGGTACCAGCACACAGAGATCCCTGTCTGCCTGCTGCTTCCCGACCGTCCACACTAGAGCCTGGGCAAGCCGTGGTGAACGCCCACATTCCGGCGCCCCTTGGCCCTGCCTTTAGAGCCTGTCCCACAAAGTGTCACTGAGGCCCAAGGAATTGTGTGAAAGGACCTGGGGTCCCCAGTATCCCAGGGACTGTCTAGTGATCACGTGGGAAACAAACGCCCCCAGAATGTCCAGGCTGGAGTGCACTGAGTCAGGGCCCAGCCTGGGGACTGCCGGGGTGAGTAACAGCACCCCTACCGAGCCAGCTGCTGCCAAGGCCCCTCCCAGTCAGGTGTCAGCAGAGGAGGAGTAGGAGAGTCCAAGTCGCTGGCTCCCAGGCCTGGTGTCGGTGGGAGGGACCGGGCGGGGCGGGATAGCCGGCTGCCTGCCCAGAGCCAAAACGAAAGCACTGGGGCTGGAGCTGGATCGGGAATCGGGGCTCGCGGGAGAGGGAGTGCGCAAGCTGTCCAGCGCTGAAACCCTGGGAGGCACGGGGGATTCTGGCCCCTGCTCACGATAGACACAGGGCTGAGTGGGGACAGGGGTGGGGTTTCTGCCCCCCCCTTGGGGGGCAGGACTGGGCCTCAGGCCTGAGTGCTCCCTGGCACTTAAAAGATGCCTATGCCCTGGTTCCTGCTGTCCTTGGCTCTGGGTCGAAGCCCTGCCGTTCTCTCTCTGGAGAGGCTCGTGGGGTCTCAGGACGCTGCCTACTGCTCTCCGGTGAGTCTAGGGCCCTGGGAGGACTGGGAAAGGCTCAGGACTCAATCTGTGGTGGATGGAAGCTCTAGGTTGGCTGTCACTGCCGCCACCGCCATGCCAGAACTGCCCTGGCTGGTCTGTCTGGTGCTGATGGGGGAAGAGACTGAAGGGGCAAAGGCTGCTGTGTCCTTGTGGGAGTGGCTTGTAGTCTGGAGCCCCTGAAAAAGGCAGGCTGGGGTGGGGTGGGGTTCTCAGGCAAGGAAAGGTGGTTAGATTTGGAGACATGAAATTGACTCTCCTTTCCCTCCTTTCCAGGGCCTCTCCTGCCACCTCTGGGGTGAGTATCCCCACTTTTTAAAAAAGAATTATTCGGGGGCCAGCACTTGGCATAATGACTATGTCACTGGACTCCCATGTAGTTGACTGCGGTTCAAGTCCCGGACCCAGCGGCTTAAACTCACGCCGGGTGCATGTGCGTGCGTGCCCAAGATCCTAAGAGAAGAACGGAGGAGAAGGGATTGTGGCGTGGCCAACCCCCCTGGGGGGTTGATTTCTCACTTTCTGTCTCTCTGGCTGTCTCTTCCTGGTGAGCGCATGCACCATATAGCAAAAAACTCTCTTAAAAAACAACAACAACAAACAAACAAACAAACAAATAAATAAAAAAGAATTACTGGGAGGACCAGCAGTTAGTGTAATGGCTATGTTGCTGGACTCCCACGTAGCCTACTGCGGTTCACGTCCTGGACCCGGTGGCTTAAAACTCACGCTGGGTGCGTGTGTGTGCATGCCCAAGATCCCGAGAGGAGAATGGAAAAGAAGGGATTGCGGCGTGGCCATCCCTCCA